AAGACTCTATTGTTGTGCCTCCTGTCATGGCTGCCATCACATGATGGTGCAAAGACTCTATTGTTGTACCTCCTGTCATGGCTGCCATCACATGATGGTGCAAAATACTCTATTGTTGTACCTCCTGTCATGGCTGCCATCACATGATGGTGCAAAGACTCTATTGTTGTGCCTCCTGTCATGGCTGCCATCACATGATGGTGCAAAATACTCTATTGTTGTGCCTCCTGTCATGGCTGCCATCACGTGATGGTGCAAAGGCTACATCCGAAGAGTTTTACTGCAATGATTGATTGCGATCACTCTAACAATGTCAAAGAAAAATAACGATTTCTAATCCATGATAATTTGTCTTATCAACTATAGATTTAATACATATGTTCCGAGCTTTCGGCCTACTCGGCCATCCTCAGGGAAATGAACAAGGAACAAGGAACTATTTGATTTCTAACCCGTTCTAACTAATAGGTTTTATGACTATAATATTAATATTAATGTTTATTATTAGAAGCTAATGAATTGAACCTCTTTCGTATGAGATTTAATAGTTGTTCAAATTACAGTGGTACCTCTATTCAGTAAGCGGACACTAGCTCAAGTCTCAAAATCTTCTCCCTATACCGTAATTAATAAATATTATTAAATACTTTGGGTTTCATATGCGACTTTAATAGGACGTTTGCCTGATGGCGTCATTGACCTCTACTACCAGACTCCCTTGCACACTTTCTTTTGTTCAGTTAATTAGCACCAATTGTCTTACTATTCTCATGAGGGAATACAAATTTAAATAAGAACGAAATTTCGCGAAGCATTTTGGTAGTGGGAGTTAAATGACGCCATCATGCAAACGTCCTATTCGGGGACGGCGCTTACTAATAATTTTGGTCTTAGGCGCGGCGCTAATTTGAGGGCCGCGCTTACAGTGTGACTACACCGACCAAGTCCACCCAGACAAATTTTCATACAAATTAGCCAATCACGATTGAATATTTTGCGATATTTCTTGAATTAGCAAGTGTCCGCTTAATAGGGATACCACTGTAATATAATATAAACTACTTACATTAGGTTAAAAAGCACTAAAACAATAAATCTGTACATAGTAATATGTGTGACTAATAAAAAATTCTTTAAAAAAATTAATGATCTTAACAATTTTAGACTAAACTGGGGTATATAGTCCGATTCAGTCCAATTCAGTCCGAACCAGTCCGAGTCAGTCCGAGTCAGTCCGAGTCAGTCCGAGACAGTCCGAGACAGTTCGAGTCAGTCCGAGTCAGTCCGAGTCAGTCCGAGTCAGTCCGAGTCAATCCGAGTTCTAGTCCGAGTCCGAGTCCCTTCTAATAGAGGGAGGTAGAAAAAAATAAAAACGGCTAAAAAACAGCTAAAAAACTACCCAAGAAGAAGCAAAAAAATCGACTAAAAATAACATAAAATCAAAGTATGTTCATTATTTTTAAGTTTTAAATTTTTACAATTTTTTCAGCATAAAACGATCTCGTACCCAGAGTCCACGTTCCTCTTGTCCGTCAGATACATTGTTTGGGCTGCCTGTGACGTTTGGCTTGTTTTCAAGGGTCTAATAAACAGTTTGGTACACGACTGACCTTTAAGGAAGGTTTATTGAGGGAGAGGGGGGGGGGGGGGGGGGGGGGGGGGTGGACTGCACGGAATAGAAATGTTTCGTTCTGTACTTCAGTTTAAATGTTTGTAGCCTACCCCCTTTTCACTCAGTAAGAAACTCATGACCTTCCTATTAAGTCAATGACGAAAACCCTTTCATCAAANCGTTTGGCTTGTTTTCAAGGGTCTAATAAACAGTTTGGTACACGACTGACCTTTAAGGAAGGGTTATTGGGGGGGAGGGGGGGGGGGGGGGGGGGGGGGGGGGGGGGGGGGGGGGAGGGAGCTGATTCGCACTTAACTTCAGTTTAAATGTTTGTAGCCTACCCCCTTTTCACTCAGTAAGAAACTCATGACCTTCCTATTAAGTCAATGACGAAAACCCTTTCATCAAAGTAATTAAAATAATTATTCATTCATTAGAGCGTTACTCGAACTACGAAAGATCTCTTCTTGCAGTCGAGCCTATCGCGTAACTCGAACTCACACAACTTTCTTAATGACATCGAGTTACGTGACAACGTCATATTTGAGTGTGGTCGAGCGCGTGACTCAAAACGCGCGTAACTCGAGGCGCGTAACTCGATGAATACCCGTCCTCATACCGGAGCATATGTTTATTTACTACTGAAGGTCGGACGTTCCAAAGTGGCTTTATATACCCCAAACGTAGAGGAGACTATGGCGAACGTGCATGCAAACACAGATGCAATATCAATAGCGCAGCGCACTGATTCTAAAAATAGCTTAAAGATTCGGACAAACATTGCATTCTGTTTAACCGCTACGAGGATTATACGAACCGATTTTATTATTTTTACTTAAAGTTACAATAATAACCTATGTAAACTAAGATCAACTGCGATCGGCTGTGAAAATTATCTGATGAAAGTAAACTTGTAAGTTTGTTTGTCCGAATTTCGCCTTTGTTTTTATGACGTCACGGTTGCGCTGCGCTATTATGACTGCCATCTCCAATTTCACACTTGACTTACGATATGATCAATACTGCGATAAAAGTGTCATCTTAAACTCTAACCACGAGTTGCATTACATTTTTAATATTGCCTAAACTGACCAACAGTTCGTTTTTAAACCACTGAGAAGGTAAGACTTTATTAGAGGGGAACCATCTAAACTTCAGTAACGCAAAATTCTACCCTCTTGGAGTAAGGTCTTGATTCAGACAACTTTCAAATCCGAAGGTATTATTTATATACAAACGTTGTTGATTCACATATCAATCTCTCTTCTCGACCTTTTCTATCTATGAACCCTGAACTGAAAGGTTCAATAGCTTATCATATATATTCAACAATATATAGTCAATGTCATTAACGTTGTCCACCGAAAAAAGACGTTTACACATTTACACATTTAGGCTAAAAGATATATCACGTGTTTCATTATGTATTCTTTGCCTCGTGTGCGTCAGCCTGAACGTTAAATGTAAAATTCAACTCGTGAATCGAAAATCCAGAATGCCCCGACCATTTAGTGAGGATTTAAGATGGAGAATGGTATTTCAGCGTTTGTTTTATGCCAGAATATTCGAGGAAACACGTGATATTTCTTTTAGTTTAAATGTCTAAATGTGTAAATGTGTAAATGTGTAAATGTCTTTTTTCGGTGGACAACGTTAATGACATTGACTATATCCATTAACTATGTTTCAACCAAACGTTTTCGGGTTTTATTATTGGAGAGTACAAGGAACTTTGCAATGTGTGTAAAAAAACACCTTAAGGAATTTTAAACCAGGATAAACTTCCAAATGGAAACGCACCCAATATGACGTTTGCATGATGGCGTCATTGACCTCTACTAACAGGCTCCCTTGAAAACTTTCTTTTGTTCAGTTAATCAGCACCAATTGTCTTACTATGTTTGGAATGCAAATTTGAATAAGAAAGAAAATTCGCCAAGCATTATGGTAGTGGAAGTCAAATGACGCCATCATGCAAACGTCTTATTTATGATTGCCCTATCCTTACACTTGACTTACTAGACCTAGTTTGTTGTGAAATGTGATTGTCCGGGTGAGTGTAGTCTATCTCGCATCCGTTTTTAGTGTCGGTCGTCACGCAACGCTCCCTCCCGACAAACGAGTGTAGAAAGACTGTTGTTGGTGGTGACTGACGTTTCGACAACCTGAGCGTATCATTGGTAATCATCTTCAGAGTCCAGTGAGAAAACAAGAGTTCACATGAATCAACAATGCGGCGATAATGATCATTTTACATGAGATTTTCTACTGCTACCGCCAGTTTACAAGTTCGCTTTTGAACCACTGACAAGGTAAGATTAAGTCTCATGTCATGTCAATATTCAACCCCCTGGAGTGAAGCCTTGAATCAATTATTATTACACAATCTTTATTACACCACTATAAAGAGTTGTTGACAACTCACACTCAAGCATGAATTGTTAAAGTAAATTCTGTTTTCGGACTTTTCTATCCAAGAACCAGGGCTGAAATGATTAAATAATTCGTTTTTAAAGTTCATTGAACTATTTTCTTTAACTTTAAAGGAAATTCCGAGACTTTCTGGCATGTTCTTGTTGGCATTGGCGGCGTTGGTCTTTGTGGTCGCGTACTTCATTGTTCGATTCTACTTGGATTCCAGATACCTTCCTCCAGGACCATTCCCTTTGCCAGTTATTGGAAACCTTCACTTACTTTCCAGTAAGCCGTACCTGGATTTCTATCGACTAGCTAGGCGTTATGGTCCAGTGTATCGTCTCAACATGGGCTGCAACCTCGTGGTCGTTATAAACAACTACAACAACGCCAAAGAAGCCATGTTGAAAAAGGGATCCGACTTTGCTGGGCGGCCGTCACATTTTGTTGGAAGTTTATTTTCCAGAAACGGTAAAGGTGTTGGTTTTCAAACGTTTTCTAAAACCTTCAGAAAACAGCACAAAGCAATTTCTAGCAAGATCAACGAACAGAGACGAAAAGAACCTAGACTTGAGGTAATGGTTGCAAAGGAGGTCGACGAACTGATCCAACGGATGAGGAGTAACGAAACTGATTCGTATTTTGACCCTTCGGGCGGCGTTACCTTCGCTTTTGCTAACATAGTCACGACCTTGGCCTTAGGCAAGCGTTACAGAGACGACGATAGCGAATTCTTGGCCCTAATGGATGCTTTGACAATATTCGTCGAGGGACTAGCTGCAACAAACTTTATTGATACTTTCCCATTTCTTAAATTTGTGCCGTTTAACATCATCAAAAAAGTCAGGAATGCTGTTGATGTACGCGATGCCATACTGAATAGGATTTACCTCGAACACAAGGCGAAACTTCAGGACAAGACCAACGCGAATGATGCAGAGGGATGTCCACCCGACCTTACGGACTATCTTATCAAGATAGACAATAATGAAATGACAGAGGATCATATAGTCATGACAATGAACGACACAATAATGGCGGGCAGCGAGACGCCAACAATGAATTTTCTCTGGATAATGTACTACCTCACAAAGTACCCGGACGTACAGGAAAAAATTCACCGCGAGCTTGATGACGTCATAGGAACGCGCGCGCCGGAATGGAGCGAGCGTCAAGAGTTGCCATATTTGAAAGCGTTTATTGCAGAAGTCTTGCGCCACTGTAGCGTGATGCCATTGGCTATTCCTCATGAGGCACTGTGCGACTCTACCATTGGTCTATACCATGTGCCCAAAGGGACTACAGTTTTGTTGAACATATACGCCATTCACCACGACCCCGAGGTATGGGAAAATCCAAAAGAGTTCAAACCAGAAAGATTCCTGGATGAAAATAGAAACTTTGATTCAGGACGGGCCGCTAACTTGATTGCTTTTGGTATTGGGCATCGCGTTTGTCCTGGAGAAGCTTTAGCAAGAATGGAATCCTTTTTATTCACTACCCGGTTTGTGAAGAGCTTTAAGCTTAAAGGTGATGGAGAAGTCATGCCGGATGTGAATGAGTGTTCCTTTGGGATCACGTTAAGGCCACCCCCATTCAGAGTACGATTGATTCCCAGGGATTGTTAGAATCTCGAGGAGTGACAAGAGAAAAACTAGAATAGCAGAGTGAAGGCTTCCCTGAGGCTGAGGAACTGTGCTTTTAATTTCTCGTAAGAATATAATTTCTTATTTAAACATTTTATGATAAAATAAAAACATGTTAAAAATGCAGGGCGAAACGTCGTCACCGTTTTTAACATGTTTTTATCGTACAATTTTATTATAAGAATATAATTGTGACAAAAAAACATTTTGACTAAAGCAACAGCATGCACTTGAATAATAACAACTAACAAGCAACAAACGAAGCAGCAACAGCATCGGCAACAACAGCAACAACAACAACAACAGCATTAGCAACAACAGCAACGACCACGACAGCAGCAACTACAGCAGCAACAACAACAACAGCAGCAACAGCAACAACAACGACAGCATTTAGCATCAGCAAAAACAGCAACAACAACAACAACAGCATTAGCAACAACAACAGCAACGACCACGAGAGCAACAACTACAGCAGCAACAACAACAACAACAACAGCAACGACCACGACAGCAACAACTACAGCAACAGCAGCAAAAACGACAACGATAGTGAGAACAGCATCAATTACAAAAACAGCAATAGCAGCAGCAGGAACAACAACAGCAACAACAGTCTAACGAAAACAAGAACAGACAGAATAATAAACGACAACAACAACAATGACAATAATAAACTGGTGCTTTTTTTCCATTAAAATATTTTTCATTTTAATTCAAAAATTGCAAAGGTGTGAGGATACTCAGACGGGATTTTAAGCCTCGAGAGATTCAATAGACAAGTTTTGAGTTCCAAGTTAAAGCTGTGTTCCGCCTTGATTACAGACTCATTTAACAGACTCATTTTAAATGAGTCTGTAATAAAGGAACACAGCTTTAGTCATCAGTGTTTAAATAATTATAAGAGAGAAGCATTATGAATGCCCCCGGGGTCGGCAGTTGCCTATTTAAGCGAAAAAATCCAACGCTTCGACCTCATTTGCTTATTAGGCTCGTCGTCCCAGTCGGATTTTTCCTTGGCTTTTCCGTACGAACGTCGCCGAAGCTTCCTTATACGCCATTGCCGGCCAGTGCCAACAATCGTCGAGGTAAAAATTCGGATTGTTTCACGTCATGTTTGTAGGCTTTACTCGATTCTTGGCATCGTTTTAAGATTTATTTGGCCGTGTGTTTTGGTCGTAGTTCAGCCCAGCTACATGTTTGTTTCGTGTTTACTTATAGCCTGTGGTCAAATTTTACATTTTTATTTTTTATTTTTTATCTATTGCTGGACCAGAAGGGCAATCTAAATCCAATCTTTTTAGATAAAGATACATAGTTATATATTTAATATATATTTCAATTTTCCTTAT